AGAATTGTAGGAAATTTAATTTTAACTAACTTTTGTAAAAACTATTTTCCGTGTAAAATTGAAAATAAATGAGTTATTCAAGATACAAAAAATAACCCTTTAAATCAAGATGGCGGAGGTAACGACAACTTTGGAATCCCAACTTTTTGAATTTAGACTACCACAGACCCCCTCCAACGAATTCCGAAGGAAAATTGCTGCTTCGAATTTTTCAGAATCTCAAGTCTGTTCTTCACCTAATCCGATTAGGCTAACAATTTTGAAAAGGTAATGTAAACAATTTTGATATGAGGTATAAACAACTTTGGTAAGAGTTGTAATTGGACACTTATCTATTATTCTGAATAATGTTTAATGGTAATGTCACTAAAAAAAATTACAAAAAATCACTGGATTTTTAATATTTTAAAGTTTGTTACAATCTCTTTTGACAGTAATTGCAATGTATTATTTATGATTTGTTTATTTTAATAATAAATGAGAAATAGTTAATAAATTGTAAAGAGGGCCGTGATATTTTTGTCAAATTGGTCATTCTTATTTCATAACATTCTACATTAGTTTTAATCAACAGAATAAACCATTATCTGTAAAATTATATTTATATAAAATGTTCATTTAAATATGTAAAAATCTTAATGACAAGAAACACTAAAGATTCTAATTTCTAAACCGGTTCTGTAAATGATTTCTTTACAACTAAGTGCTCAAAATTGATACAAGCTAGATAAAAAGAAAACTTTGCCCAGTGAAATACGCTTTTCGTCGTCTGATTTACATATGGATAAGCAATCTTTGTAATTATGTATATCATTGGGTGTGAGGCATAATTTTGCTCTGTGGAAATTTATAAAATTTCTTTACTATCGAATGAAATAAAGGTTTCTAAAGTGATGTGTTTGTACATCCACGGATGCAACAAGTTTTTTCGATATTGATATTACGAAAATAATTCGACTTCATTTTATTAATAATTATTAAACAATAAATGCCGTATAAAACATTAATAAATACCCCCCAAAAAGTTCACATTTTTGTCACCAGTTAGCGTTAAAGTCATGACGCACGGTCCCTATATAATATGTAGGTATGTTATATTATCCATATTCCTTACTGGTGGAATCCCATTAACGTCCAAATGAAATAATTTAAGCATACGTGTATGTATCTACGTCTGGAATTAATTTTATTTTCTTCAAACAGGTACCTCCATAAATACAATATTATATTAAACTAATCAACTCTATTAGGGTATAAAACCTTAAAAATATAAATAAACAAACACATAACCTAACAAAATGCCAAAAGACGGATTTGACAGTGGTTCAAGGTCAATTTTATGCTTTTAAAGCAAACAAGCGAGTTTATTTTCGCTTTTATGCTTCTTCAAAAGCGCTGCAGCGGTTGACAGTTCATCGTCACCGCTTACTCAGCGTTACAACATGTTTGACGACGATGAACACGGCCAATATCAATAGATAATTATTTAATTTTCGTTTTTATAAAATAATATGAGGAGTATGAAAAAATGTTTCCTCCCAAGATGTGATAATGATTTACATATATTATTAAATATATTTATTAGTGTTGCCAAAAATATGAAAAGAAGGAAGTTATTATTATTATTACACAGAAAAGCTTCAAGCAACAGCTAAATTATTTTAAGGTTTGTATAGTATCTATCTCGGTATCTATACTCTTTATTAAAATGAAAATGTTTTATTGTAATTTATTAGACTTCAATTATCTACCATTGTAGTAATGATGTTTTTTCTTTTTTAGATACCTTTTTTAAATGATGGATAAACCTTTACATATAAATGGGTAGTACCACACAAATGTCTGCAAAGTTCTTGTTATTCACCACACCTCACTGATTCTACCAAAAACAGAAAAAATGTTTCTAAAAAGTTGACTTGAAAATAACCTACTAGAGGCGTTTTTATCTCTATTTAATAAAAATACACCGGATCTTCAAGATGCAGGAGTAATTTGTGACATTGCCCCCTTCAGGAAATTTAAAATGGGCCTACTATAAGTTTGAAGGTGAATAACCTAAAACCCTCCTTCGGAACCTCCTGAAAGTTTTGAAGATAGTAAAGTTTTGTCTGAATCAGAAGAAACATCTTTAATATTTATTTATTTATTTATTTATACATTGTTCAACAGGTTAAACCCAATTACAGAACAGGAGTACATTTGAAAGAAAACAGTTTAACAAAAGGCATATAGATAATTAATCTAAAATTACAGTAAATAAATTCAAAATTATTTTAAACAATGTGTTTTTATGTTTTTAACACTGCAATTAAATATATCCAACTGTTCACTAATATTATTATAATTATTACACATGTTATATACAGGTGAAAACTTCAGAACGTTTGTCCGAGGAGTCGCTATGTAAAATGATTCAGTGTTTCGAGAGGTTGCGCGTGGGATTCTAAAATTAAGCATATGTAAAAGAGCTTCACAATTGATTTTAAAATTAACAACTTTGTAGAGGGTAATTATGGAGAAGTACTTTCGTCTTACGTCGAGACTTGTCAATCTGTGTCTAGTCAGTAAAGCATTTTGAGTAATACCAATCGGTGGATAAATTTGGTCTGCCCGAAAACTTAAGTATTTGAGGAAACGCCTTTGTGTGGACTCTATCCGACAAATGTGTATTTGATAATAAGGATCCCAAATAAACGAGGCATATTCGAGTTTAGATCGAACAAATGAGAAATACAATGATTTAATAGTATCTGTGTTTTTAAAATCACGGCCCACTCGTACTATGAATCCATACATACGATTTGCAGCTGTTGAGATGTTATCTATGTGGTATTTAAACGACAATACTGGGTCAAATGTAACCCCTAAATCCATAAAATTGTTGGGTTTAGAAAGCAAACGTCCATCAAGGACATAATCGAATTTAATTGGATGCGCTTTTAATGTGTATGACATTACGTTACATTTGACGGGATTCAGTGTAAGACCATTTTTGTTGCACCATTCAACAACTTTGTTCAAATTTTCCGACAACTGTTCACAGTCAGAAATATTTTCAATAGCTGAATATATTTTTAAGTCATCAGCATACAGCAAATAATCAACATTTATAGCGTCACCAATGTCGTTGATAAAAATATTAAATAATATTTGATTCAGAGGGATTTAATAATAATGAGCAAGTTATTCAAGACCATTGAACTCTCAATAAATGAAAATAAACTGAAGGTATATTTAGGATTGCCCAACAGTGTTTCTAAAATCCTCAATCATATTTATGAGAAGGAAAGTACAGCTTACATAAACCTTTTACATTTCTGTGTAAATTAAAAGAACTCATTTTGTAAGACTAAATACTTAATAATTTAATAAACTGTTTAGAACATAATGCTTATGTAAGTAAATAATTTTAAGTAGTTATATTTAGTTTTTGTGTAGTCAGTAAAGACTATGTGATTGCAGAAGCAATATTAGTTGTTTTATTTGTTAAATAAATCACAGTTATTTGTTTAACGCTTGTTTCAATTTTCTTTGGTTTATGAAAACTTACGATCATTCAAAGGCGGGGGTATTGGCTTAATCCAATCTCTGAGAGAGAGAGAAAACTGCCAAAGGGAATAGTTCCTGTAGGGCAAACCCTTTCCCCGTCCTCTGAATCGTCAGGAAGTTAGGGTTCCTTCTGAACTTAACCCCCTAGCTGTGTGTTGTCTAGAGGCAATTTAAATACAAATTGGGCCCCTCTATATAACTCGTGGTTACCGCTAAGAGTGGACTTAAGGGTCAGTCAAAAGGCCTATAATCTCACTCTTAACAATATCTCACATGTGAACATGGCCCATTTTTGTGATCGGTTTCTTGTTCAGCAAATTTACAAAAAAGCAGTGATCAGCAGAGGTATGAGATCTCTATATTACCAGCATGATAACCAGACAGTTTTTAAAAATATAACATTAAGTAATGTTTTTGAAATTTTGGTTACTCTGGTAGGTTTAGATATATTATAAATCAAGTTTCCAAAAGTGATGGTTAATGTAAATTTTACACTATTTTCATTTTTAAACTCTAATAAATCAACACATGGTAAAACTGTACTTTTTACTATTTTCACTTGTACACTAACTACTGTCAACACTTTTTATTAACTGCAAAATATTAATTTGCATCTTCTATGTCTTGTTCAGGAGGAGTTACTAGTTTATCTTGAAACAAATCACTTTCATTAACTAACCGTTATGTGTGTTCTAATTATTACATTCAAACTGATTGGGAATTTTTTTAATTTTGAGTTATTTTTATTAGTCTTTGTTAGATTTTGAAGTAGATGGAACAGAGTCATAAGAATGTTCCTTAACAACTGGCAGTTTTAAAGGAGAGTTTCTTTTTATTTGAGATGTGGCAGCTGCAACATAAAAAAAATTAAATAAACATTAAATGAAAAATATACCTAGGTATTACCTTTATAAGTACCTACCTATAAATCTTAAAAATGCTGAGAACAAACGTTCCTTTCATAAATTTTACTTCCCTATTTTCAAGTTTTGTAGCATACTCTTCTTGCATCCACAAGTTCAGATTTTCCACTTTTATATTACAAAATTACCTTACATCTACCGGTTTTAGGAAACCGATGAAATGTAACAGAATGCCATTTTTTTCATGAAATAATTATACAAGGATTGCATTGAGGCACACAAGTGTCTTCCACTCATTTTACTGTATTTTAAAATAACTTAATATGTATTCTACTAAACGTCTAATTTAATAGAGATGACAAAAATGTTATACATTAGCTTAATATTATTAAATAAAACATTTCAAACGAAACATTTTCTAACCAAAAACACCATTTAATGACATAACAACAACCAAGAAACATAAAACGCCAAGGCAGTCTTATTTTCACGTCTAGATCGATACCCAACTCCATTTAACATAAGATTCGATTATTTTCTAGCGAATAGTGAGCTTCTCGGGATATCCCGAGTACGAAAGATGAGCTACCCGATTCTGATTGACGTTTTCGGGACGTGACGTAACGAGTTTACAATTTGAGCGATTCTAATTCCAACTTTCGTTCAAGACCTCTCGAGTATATCTGTCAGAATCACTCGGGACGTAGAGCGGTAGTGAAATTAGAAAAAGTGTGGTTAAGAAGCTGTGAGGTTGATATTTGTGCGACTTGAGACTTGATATTTGACATTTGTGTGATTTGATATTTGTTTGATTTTGTCAACATGAGTTTTAAAATAAATCAAGAACATTTAATAACAATTTTAAATTTTATGGAGGGAACATGAACATTTTGCAAGTGGCAGACTCTCCGTTTCCAATGCGAAACAAGAATTTAGAAGACTGTGGACAGAGCTTTCCACAAAATTAAATTCACTGGGATACGGATTGAAAACGACGGAAAAATGGCAAAAAGTGAGTGTTATTTGAAATTTTTTTAAAATTCACCTATTTTAGAGAAAATGAGAAATACGAAATACCTACCCATTAATTATTTTGTTGTAGACTTGGTCTGATTACAAGGGCAATTTGAAAAAAAAAGCAGCCGAACTACAAAGGCACCAAGCTGGTACTGGAGGTGGCCCCCCAATTGAAAAAAAATTGTCAGATATTGAAGAGGGATTACTAGAAATTCTGGGGAGTACATTCTATAAAGGATGTGGAGTAGCTGAGAAAGGAGTGAGTATTTAGTTTAGTATAGAGGGCAGAATGTATGCAAAATTCATATATGCACTTTGTATATATTTTACCAAATTTCAGAAAACATTACAATTTTTTAAGAAAATGTACTTATTACTATGCTTATTAAGTAGGGTTTTTCCAAAATAATATACAAATTTAACATTTGGGTACCAAAGGGATTATGTATTTAAATAGTAAATGATTAAGGGTATGGGTATTTCCAGAGATAAAGTTCCTACCTAGAATGCAATAAAAGTTTATTTAAATTTTCCAGTAATTTATTCAGAATGTTTTAATCCCAAATAAATATTTATTACCTAACAAACCATTATTATTACCTATATATTTTCCTATTATGTAATAAATTTTTTTTAAAGATTTTATTTGTATAATATAATTTGATTTTTCATTTTAGTTGGAACTTTCCCAAACACCATGCTCCTCATCTTCCTTGACAGTGAAGTCAGAAACTCCAAGAAAAAATGAAATGAGTGCAAAAACAATTGAAATGGAACACAGTTACCTTCCATCCAATCGGAAAAACCGGTTGCAAGGTTACAAAAGAAAAATATCGGATAATCCAAACAACCCCAATTTTAGTGGAATGTATGAAGAATCAATAAAAGCTATTAAGAGCATTGAAAAGACAATTAACGAAAATTTTAGTAAATTGAACCAAACTATTGATGATAGACTTGGAGAGATTGTGAATGCTATCAAGAACCAAGGCAATATGGATTAAGAAGTTTTGTTTCTTTTTTTTTTAGATTTAGATTACTAATCAGTAATTATATTTTATTTATTTAAATTGTTTTTATTTTTGATTTACTAATTATATTTTTATTTTTTGTAGAAATTGTTTTATTTTTACCACATTATAAAGAGTAAAATTTAAAAAGTTTTTTTTCTAATATTACAGAAGATAAACAAATAACAGCATACAGTAATTTATTTAAGAAATCTATTTTTTGCATTACACAATAACAAAAATACCTATAGAAAATAATAAACTTGAAAAAATTGCAAATTTTACAAATATTTAAAGAAAAAATTACATAAGACTATTTACACAGTTTAAAATATACATTCACAAAGCATTAAAGTATCTATTTACAATATTATTTCTTGTTATTTCACCCAAATTGTGCAGATTATTATTATTATCATGTACAATATTTGGTGCAATTTCTGGTAAATAATGCTCATCTTCACCAACATTAAAATTTACACATAAATTATGTAGAACTGCACAGACATTTACTAGTTTACCTACAAATTCTGGAGAGTACCTGCAAGTTCTTTCCCTTAACAAGCAACGAAAACGGGTTTTCAAAACCCCTATACATCTCTCAACGCAGTTACGGGCACGGATATGTGCAAAATTGTAACGGCTTTCAGGTGAGTCATCAGGGGGATTCAAAAATGGAACCATTAAGTATGGCTCTAGAGGATAACCAGAATCTCCTATCAAACAAGTATGTCGCATTCCTATTAAATACTCATCATGAAGATACTGCTTTACAGCAGAAAATCTCCATATAAAAGCATCATGAGTAGCACCACCATAATTCGCATTAATTGCACGTATCTTTAAATCTGCATCACATATAATTTGTACATTAATAGAATGAAAGTGTTTCCTATTAAGAAAATTGTGTTCATCTATCTGCGGTTTTAAAATTGCAACGTGGGTGCCATCTACAGCTCCAATAACTGAAGGAAAATTAAACTTGTCCATGAACTGTTGTTTAATTTCATTTTGTTCAACTATTGTTGTTGGAAATTGTATATGTTCAGCAGTTAGATTGTCATTGATAGCATCAGTAACCTCATGAATAAATCTAAAATTGAATGTATGTAATAATACTCTGTATATATTTAAATATTGATCAAGTGAGTATAATATATTTATGAAATATATTACCTGTGTACACACGTCTGACTTATGCCCAAATTGAAATCTTCTCCAACACCTCGTTGATAACAACCAGTGGCATAAAATCTAAGAGCTACAAGTGTCCTCTGCTTGATTGAAACTCCCGTCCGATATCTAGGCTCTCTCAAGTGAGGGACTAGTTGATCGTATAAATGTTCAAAAATTACTTTATTAATTCTAAAAAGCTCAATAAACCGTGCATCTGGTATATTTTCTAAATTAAAATCTTCTCTTAAATCTTCTCTTATACTTCGAAAGACTTGATTCATCTCTCTTCTATTTCCTTCTCTCCAAATTTCATGAAAAATTGGCAACATAATTACTAATAGTAACAATAATAATAAGTATTTATACATTGCGTTCGGTTTGCCACGTTCCTTTAACTCCTTTAACACTTTTAACTCCAAACGACTCTTTTAGCGTTCGGTTTAGTCCGATTAGTGACAGTTTAACACGCTTAAATGTCATTTAAAAGCACCCTAAAATTTGTCCCGCTCCAGCCCCTGACTGACCGAACTCGCCTATGGAATATGAAGTCAAAAGTCAAACCAGTGACATGAGACAGACAATCAAACTGTCAAGACAAACCGTCCGTCATCAATAGGTTTTCGTAGTTTTCGTAGAGGATACTCGAGAGGTGATTAGAATCAAATTTTACTCGGTACCGTAATGGGTACCGACATGCCAGCCGAACGGGAGGTAGTGAAACGGGACGTAACGTAATAACTAATCAGAATCGCGCTGCTGAATCCCACTGCTGATTTGTGCACGTTGACATTGATATATGTCATGTGTCAATTTAGCTGTGATGTAACTGCATGCAGTGTTGCCGTGCTATTACAATTGTAA